TTCCAACCAGGACCCGGGGGTCTTCTGAGTCATGAGAGCCCTGCCTCCACCCACCTTGGGGGGGGGGGTAAGTTTGAAGACTTGTCTGTGTGCAGCTGTGCACAGGAAGGGATCTCGACCCTAGTCTGAACATCGTTGGATTTTCATACGGTGTGTTCTTCCTTATAAAACAAAGTCTGCTGAGCTTCCCCCCTTGTCCTGCTCATGCTGGAAGCAGGGTTGGCATGGCAGTGGTGGGCTGACATCATGATGAGACTTGGCCAGGAAGCAAGCAGAAAGCAGGAAGGGGAGGCTGGGAAGAAGAGCGGGGACAAGGAGGAGGCACATCAGAGCTGGCTCACCTTCCCATGGGGACGCAGCCCACTGACCAATCCATGGGACAGCTCCAAAAAGACCCCCAGGAGCCAGTCAACGGGTCAGACTGTCAAGGAACAGCGACCTGGGCTCTTTCCCTCCCTGGCTTCCCACGAGTAAGAACTGGTGCACAGGGCTCCGACACTCCTAGGTCTTGGGGGACGCTGCTGGGGAGTCTGTGGGCCTGGCCAGGGAGGGATTACCCAGTAAGCAGGATGTACCTGAGCTTAATTATGCTCAGTCCCGTGTCCTGAGCAATTTCATAGATTACAATCTCGCACTGCAGAGCAATGAGCAAAATTAAGCTCACGGTACCGAGCTTATTGGGCATCAGCCCCAAGCCCCTGCAGCTCCTGACCTCTGAGCTGGACTGTGCCGAAGGCCAAAATGAAATTGTGAGCACGTCACCAAGCAAAAAGCTCGGGGTCTCCACGGAGCAGGTGGCCAAGAACTAGGGCCAGGGAAGGCCAAGACCTGAGGACACAGCTGACCACACCCAGACCAATCTCGCTCAGGATCGGGGAGAGGGCTGGGCTGGGCAGAGATGGACATACTGAGTGCTGGGCTTTGAGAAGGGAGTGTGGGCTGAGCTCTGTATTCCCGGGGCTGTTTGTGTCATTGAGTCAACAGTGGTGTAAAAGGGACCACGATGGAGCACAGGAGGACGGATGCCACATGGATGGAGGCCAAGAAGACTGTGTCCCCTGGGTGCTGCAGCTGTGGAGAAAGGACCACTCCCTCCGAACTCACCGGCCATGCAGGGTGTGCCTCTCCAAAGTACCATCACCCTCTCTTGGGGGATATTTGCATGGTGTCTATCAGGGAAGCCGGTGGGTTGACCCTTTGGCCCCCAAAGGAGGCTGCATCCATTTATGCCTCATAGAGGTCACCTTGAATGGGGGGTCAGTACAGGTAAGCACAGGGTTTCTTGGGTTTTCTGATCTGTAGCAAACAATCTCACTTTTTCTTTCTTTTTCGGCACCAAAGGTTCTGCTTCGAGGTCTGGCCTCCGACAACTGAAGGGCCAGTAGGTGCAACTGTACGGCGATAATATAAAGATGATAGTAAAGTCATAAAAGATGAGAAAGATAGGAGAGGCCATACAATAAAGGAGTCTGACACATTTTACGGTAGCACGCTCACCTCAGCTCCTCTTGGTGGACCACATGGAACAGGGAGAAGAGAGCGAGAGTCTTTACTGTCTTGGGACATTTACAGGCAGCCATAAGACATGCATATTCATGTGTCACAAGGTGGGTGGTAACTGCATTAAGATCCCTGAGCTGACAGGTGAGCAAACCTAATACCTGCCTTGGGGGGAAGGTGTGAGGGGGCTGGGTGACATGGCAGGAAGAGAGAACGAAAGGATGTCTTCCTCTAGAGGGATATATAAGCAACCATGTACTCACTTTAAGACAGCATAGCTGTTAGGGGAGAATCTGTGGAAACGATCCTTAAAGCAAGGTAGTGTACTTGGACTTTACCTCTCACTGACCCGTGGAGGCTTTCCTACCGTGGAATACTACAGATCCCCTCTGTAATAAGTTAGGGACTATAGTCCTCGTCATATTTCCCACAGCCTTCTGCAGAAAAGGCACCTCCGACGACCTAACAGTTCCCCACAGTTCTGTGCACAGTACAAGCTCACACCTATCAACCCCCGGGTTGATGGAGGCATTAAGACAACGTTTCTGCAAGGAAGAGTCTGGAATGTAGGGCCCAGGCCTTGTGATGATGGCGTAAGCAAAGGGGTGCAGACAGATGGGGAGCTGTCTGCAGAGAAGAAATGCTGCCCTAGGCCAGCACCCATGAGTTAGTGCTGCGCAGGTGCTGTAGAGACCAGGCTTGGATCCCAGACAGCAGCGACTCCAGTGTGGGCCCTATCTTTCTGCCCAGCACAGCCTAGGTCTACGCACCCAAACCCAGTTCTGGGCACAGCGAGGCCCCGAGCCTGCAAACACGGAACGAGCTGACTCCCAAGGAAGTCCCAGGGGCTAAGGCCCACCTGGAGGGCCGGGTAGTTTCCAGAGTAACCAAGCCTGAGACATCCAAGCACACACCTTCCCCCGCGCCCCCTCACCTGATGGGCCAAGCTGTCGCCTAGAAAAGCAAGGAGACATCGACGCAAGGGCTTCCCCTCACCCATCCAGTGGCAGTCGCCACGCACTCTGGCCAGGGCCCGGGACTCGAACTGCTAGCTCCCGAACCGCTGGCAGCGCTCCCAGGACCCAGGGTTAAGGGTCAGGGGAAATCGCCCGGTGAGCTGCCAGAGAACGCGGCCGGGAAAGACGCTGAGAGGAGCCGTTCCTCTTTCCTGGGCCGCCCGGGGGTGCGCTCTCCCGGGACCCCCGGGACCCGTCTGCCGAAGGAGGCCAGGGCGCTTCGCAGCCGCGCCGGCCCCGGTGGCGTGGCCGTGCGGCGGCGGCGGCACCTACCGTGGGCCGCGTCGGGGGAGGGTCCCCCGGTCACCCTTCCCGTCGTGGGCGCTCAGCTGTGCTTGTTGTCAAGGAGCCAAGCGGGACCGAGTAGGGGAACCCGCATCCCGAGCCGCGCGGAAGAATATTCTGCGGGCACTTCCCTCGGAGCACCTCGCCGACGTCCCCGGCTCCCAACAGGGGCCACATACTGACCGCTAGCGGCCCTCTGCGCCTTGACAACGCAGGCCCGCCCCCTGCCTCGCGCTGGACGAGCGGGACCCGCCTCCGACGGCTCATTGGCTCTCAGAACTCACGCTCCCGGACCTGATCCAATCAGCGCGCGACGTTACCAGGGCCCGCCTTTGGAGGCGGGGGGAAGGCCCGCCTCAATTTTGGCGCTGGGACGGCCACTGCGCGTGCGCCCGAATCCCAGCTAAGCGGAAGCGGAAGCTGGGGGGCGAGCCAGCTCGGAGGAAGAGCGCAGCAGCTGTGAGTCCGGGTCCGAAGTCGCCATGGGGCGAGGCAGCGGCACCTTTGAGCGTCTCCTAGGTAACGTGACCCCCGACCCGCCGACCCGCCGCGGTCTCCCTATTCCCCCGCCTGGGCCTGAGTGTGCGGGTGCCTCGGCCGGAGGGCCCCGCGCCCGGCTTGTGCCCGCGTCGGGAGGAGGATCGGAAGGGCCGCGGTCCTGTCGGGAGGCGACGCCGAGACGCGGGTCCGGAGCGGACAGCCGGGGTCGGCCTCCTCAGACGCGTGCGGGGCTTGCGTGTCTCAGGCGTCTCGGAGCCCCGGCGGCCGACGCCCCGGAGCTGGTCTCTGGTCCCCGAGAACCAGGCGCCGCGCAGAACTGCCGCTCGCTGCGCGGTTTGCAGCCCAAATCCAACCAAGCACCCCAAGCCCCGCTCCCCCAGACTAGCGCCTCCCCCAGCGGGCCCAAGCCCTGAGTCACGAGGATGCGGGGCTCAGTCGGGGGCCAGAGCCCGACAGCTCAGAAAGGCCGAGATGGTGTGGGGTGTGGGGCCGCCCCAGGTGGGGCTGGCAGGTCGGGAGCGCTGCCTCCTCTGGGGCTGAGCAAGCAACTCGGTGCCCGGAAATGTCCCAGTGGCTTGGAGGCCTCCCCTGTGCGCTGCGTCCAGCTCGCTGTGCTGTAGGAAGAACAGGGTGTTTGTGTGTGCCCCTCGTGGTCAGCTCTGGACATCCTCTTTCCCTGGACCTCATGGGCCAAGCCTCTGAGCCCGCTGAGGTGGTCTGGTACCTGCAACATAAAACTCAGACGTCTACTGACAGCCAGGGAGCCAACTGCACTCCCCAGACTGCCCGCCCCCAGGGCAGGGTTACAAAGAGGATAGGGGTTAGTGGGGGAAGCCTTTCTGTGGCAGAGTGATGGGTCTGAGTTCTAATTTCCCTGTGAAGCTGCAGAGCACCTGGCTGTGTCTGTGGGTGGGGTAGTGACCGACCTTGAAGGTTCTTCCGTCTGCCAAGAGATGAAGGTTGTCTGAGGAAGGGTGAGCTGGTCTATGTGGAGGGTTCTGCCTGGTCCTCAGTGTCTCAGGCACACGTCCCTCCTGAAAGGCATGTGTCCACGGCTCCTCACATTATAGGAAGACTCTGTCAGGGTTTCCATCCAGTCCGGGGGTGTACAATGGGAGGCAAGTCTCGATCCCTGGGGTTGAGCTTGGGGCACTGGGATCCCTAAAGCAAGATGGTCCCCCAATGGGCACTTTCTTCCTCGCCCCACTAGACAAGGCCACCAGCCAACTGCTGCTGGAGACTGACTGGGAGTCCATCCTGCAGATCTGTGACCTCATCCGCCAAGGGGACACGCAGTAAGTGGAAATCTGTGCTTGGTGGCGGTGAGGGTGCGCAGAAGCCGGGGGTTCAGCTTTGGAGGAGTGGGGATAGGCACCTGTGCTTGTGGGGGCCAGACCCTGCCGGGTCTCACCTGCCAGATGCTGGCCAGCCCATGTGGTCTGGGGGCTGACTGTTAGTTCAGTGATACTGGTGGTGGTCCCCTCTGCGAGGCCCTTTGTTGCCCCAGTCACTGAGATGTCTCCGTCTTCCATCCCTGTTGGATCTCTGTTCAATGCCCTTCGCTTTTCAGGGCAAAGTATGCCGTGAGCGCCATCAAAAAGAAGGTCAACGACAAGAACCCACATGTGGCCCTCTATGCCCTTGAGGTGACTTGACCCCTGGGATCTGGGCCCCCATCGTGCTTGGGCTCCAAGAGGCACCTTGGGAAAGGGGGGTCCTGATGCCCTGTTCCCCCCCGCACCCCTCCCCCGGCTCTGTAGGTCATGGAGTCGGTGGTGAAGAACTGTGGGCAGACCGTCCATGATGAGGTGGCCAACAAGCAGACCATGGAGGAGTTGAAGGAGCTGCTGAAGGTGGGCGTGGCGGGCAGGGCACGGGAGGAGCTGGCGGAGGGTGCAGAGAGGGACACGCTCACTGTTACGATACTGTGCAAGCTCGCATTCTGGGGCCGGGGAGCAGGACAGGAGGAGGCCATGGGGTGGGGCACAGCCTTTAGGTCCCCTCAGAGTCAGGATGCAGCCCCTACCTCCTCAGGGCCCAGGCTAGTTCTACATCCCCTCAGGCTCAGAACACACCACACACACACGTCCCTTTGAGATGGCTTCCTCAGAGCTAGGCCGCCACCTCTGTGCTCCTGAGCCCAGGGGGTCCCCACAGCCAGCCCTGCTCCTCCTCACCCTGCAGAGGCAGGTGGAAGTCGGCGTGCGGAACAAGATCCTGTACCTGATCCAGGCCTGGGCGCACGCCTTCCGGAATGAGCCCAAGTACAAAGTGGTACAGGACACCTACCAGATCATGAAGGTGGAGGGTGAGTCAGTGGCCGGGGAGGCCCCGCAGGATGGGGGCATGGGGACTGCTGAGTGGCCAGTGAGGGTCAGGGTCCTTCAATAGGCTCCCGCCTCTCCGAGCGTACCCAGAGTGTGTATGTGTCAGGGTGGCTAGGAGTGAAGCAGGGTGAACACAGGGCCAGGTACCCCACTCTCTAGAGCCTTAGGAGCCAGGGCTCGGCAAACCATGCAGAGGGGCACCCTCCCAGGTGTCCCACCCAAGGCCCAGCAGATGTCGTCTGGAGGCAGGCAGAAAGGGGCTGGTGTGCAAGGAGGCTCCACTGAGCAGACAGGAGGCCCTGGCAGGCTGGGAAGTCCCCTCTGTGGCCCAGGGCAGAACAAAAGTAGGGGTGGTTGGAGAGGAGTGTGTGGCCCCAGAGGGTGCTGGGTGGTGTCCTTAGTTCTAGGTGCTGACTGTAATAGTGTGGGGGCTGGGGTCCATCTTAGGCAACCCCCAGAATGCCTGTGGCTTGTGTACCCCTCTCCCCCCATGGTTCTGCGCTTAGCACTGAGGACCGATACATGGTGTGAGGTGGGCAGCTCCTGGGTCTGAGAGCCAGGGTCTGTCTGGACCTTGGGCAGCTGTGTTGGGTGGGTAGGAAGGGGCTGTCACTGAGATCCAGGGTCTGTTGGGGCCATGGACGGCTGGGGTGAGGTTCAGGGTGCTGATCTCACCGCACCACACCTCTGTCCTGTATGCTGCCTCTGGGCTGGCTGGCATACACTCTTTGTTCATGCTTGTGTTTGCGTTTCTGGATCGAGGGGCCTAGATTGATCAGAAGGTTGAGGGCACCACGAACCTGGGGGTCCCTGGGAATGCATCAGGACAGGAGAGTCGAGGGTCAGGAGGCAGGCACTTCAGCCCACAGGGGGTTGGGCAACACCCCAGGGACACTGGGGCTGGGGCTGGGGCTGGTCTCCTACCCACCTGGCCCCCAGGGCAGCCCACCCCACTGGAGCTGGGAGACCTCGTTTGTCCATCTGTTCATCGGGCAGGCAGGTGCTCAGTCAGGTGGGGCTCCTGAAGGGGACCGGGGGTAACTTCCCTGCCCTGCGCTCCTCCAGGACATGTCTTCCCCGAGTTCAAGGAGAGTGACGCCATGTTTGCTGCCGAGCGGGTGAGCCTGGGGGCGGGGCCTGGTGGGGGGCAGGGGGCTTCTGCAAGGGCAGCCTCGGCCCTCCTGGGCAGGCCAAGGGAGCTCAAGGTGTTTTTCAAGACAGCCCCAGACTGGGCGGGGCTGGCAGGCCCGAGGAGAGTCCCCCCTCACTAGCCTCCCTCTCTCCTGGGGCGAGCAGTCCCAGCGCAGCAGGGCAGAGCGGGGCTGCTCCCTGCCAAGCGCTGACCCCGCTGCTCCCCAGGCTCCCGACTGGGTGGATGCCGAGGAGTGCCACCGGTGTCGAGTGCAATTCAACATGGTGACTCGCAAGGTGAGTGGGTGGGAGGGCCACCAGGTTGGGGTCAGGCTTGCCCCCGACCTGGGGCAGGTGGTGGCGGCCACACTCAAGCCTGGTGACACCTGCATTCAGATGCAGTTGTGGCCCTTGGGTATGGCCTCTTGGGGGCCGGAGGACAAGGAGGCTCCCATGTTGGGCTCCAGGCACCTCCTCTCTGGGCTGCTAAAGGCGAGGTCAGCAGTTCTGAAATAAGCCACTCCTCGGGAAAGGGGACCCCTGCTCCGGAGCCACGGGGCAGTTCTGCCTTGCCCTAGGGTCGCTGTGGGTTGGCATGGACTCGAGGGCAGTCCGTTTTTGGAGCCCTGAAGGTGCCCCTCCCCTTGGCACCCCTCAAGACACTGAACGTGGGGACTGGTTGTGAGCAGCTCCCGGGCGGTGTGTCCGGTGTGCAGGGCCAGCGTGCACCGAGCAGGGTTGCATATGTCCATGTTAAAAGGGTTTAAGGGGACTTCTCGTTGGGACGATCCTTTTCCCAAAGCTCCCTGTTCCTCAGAGAGGCTGGCCTGGGCGGGGTGGGCCTGCCAGGCTGCCTGCCTGACTGGTGTGCTGCCCCGGCTCTCCACAGCACCACTGCCGGGCCTGTGGGCAGATCTTCTGCGGCAAGTGCTCTTCCAAGCACTCCACCATCCCCAAGTTTGGCATCGAGAAGGAGGTGCGAGTGTGTGAGCCCTGCTATGAGCAGCTGAACAAGTGAGCCTGCCCTAACGCTCAGCCCAGCGAGAGCTATGCTCCCAGACTGCTGCCCAAGGAAGGGTGGCTGCTGCCCTGTAGGCCCTGGTTAGCTCCCAGACCCGGGGCAGGACTGAGGCAGCGAGGCTCAGGGGGCGCTGTGCCTATCCCTGACTCACGACCAGTGTCGTCTGTCCCGTTCCCAGTCCTCATCCGTCTCCCTCTGCCCCTCGAAGGACCCCCAGATGCCCCATCCCTGGAGAAAGTTCCCTTAACGAGCCAATCCGGGGAGTCATTCGTCTTGTCTTTACAGGATAGAGAGAGTGTGTGTGTCCCCCCTAAGGGAGGTGTCCTCACCCTATGGGGACACCGCTGAGATCCCAGGCCCCGAATTTAGCACCCTGTTTGTCTCCAGGAAAGTGGAGGGAAAAGCCGCCGCCACCACGGAGCTGCCGCCCGAGTACCTGACCAGCCCTCTGTCCCAGCAGTCCCAGGTATGACCCCACCTGCCCACCCAGCCCCTGGGCCCTGGTGTCTCACCAGCCCCTCACCAGCCTGTGTGCCACAGCTGCCCCCCAAAAGGGATGAGACGGCGCTGCAGGAGGAGGAGGAGCTGCAGCTGGCCCTGGCCCTGTCGCAGTCCGAGGCGGAGGAGAAGGAGCGCATGGTGAGCTGGCTTTGACGGCAGTGTGGGATGGGGCTGGCCTGAGGAGACAGAGTCATGGAGACACTGTGCCCTGGTTGGTTTCAGAGACAGAAGTCCACGTATACCGCGTACCCCAAGACGGAGCCTGCCCCTGTGGCCTCGTCTGCGCCCCCTGCCAGCAGCCTGTACTCCTCGCCTGTGGTGAGACTCACCTCAGCCGGCCGGCCAGCCCACACATGGGCACAGGCCGAGCGTCCTGCTGCTTTGGGGCAGGCGGGCGGGCAGGCACTCCCTGAGGCTAGTCTGAAAGGACAGTGCTCAGCTCCCTGGCACTGTTCCTGAGGCTGAAGGAAGGTGGGGGTGGGTGGACATTGCTGTCCCTGAGCTGCAGGCCTCTCTGTCATGTAAAGAGGGGATGGGGGGTGGGGTGGGGGTGAGCTCCAGCCCACGATTGAGCCTGCTCAGCGCTAGGGCTGAGGAGTTGGGGGAAGGGAGCATACAGACTACCCCAATGAGCCCCTCTAGCGGCCTGGGTTTGCCATCTCAGCGGAAGGAGAGGAGTTGGTCCCCTGCCCTGGGGCTTGTGAGGTTGTAGGGGAGGGTGTCTGTTCTAAGCCCTTATGGCACGCCTCCCCCTCCTACCCCCCTCCCCAGAATTCATCAGCACCCCTGGCTGAAGACATCGACCCTGAGGTAAGGCTCATCACAGGAACGTGCTCCCCTCACCCTCCTCCCAGCCCTAAGAAGTGACACATGCACCCCGTCCCCCCTGCAGCTGGCACGGTACCTGAACCGTAACTACTGGGAGAAGAAGCAGGAGGAGGCACGCAGGAGCCCCACGCCGTCGGCACCTGTGCCCCTGGCTGAGCCAGCTGGCCTGCCCCGGGAGGGGCACACGGTCCCTGCCAGCACTGTGGAGGTGGGTGAGGTGCTCACGCTCCAGCCTGGGTCCCGGGGGAATGAGGACAGGAGGCTGAGGCCCCTGCTGGCTCTCTTCCAGATACCTGCCCCGGAGCCCGACTCTCAGCCCGGAGCGCCTTCTGGGGGCCCCTTCAGTGAGGTGAGCTCTGGCCAGACCCTCCAGCACCCCTGGGACGCCCCCCCTCCCTCAGAGGACTGGTCTGGTCGTGGTGGGTGCACCCCTCCCTGGGGACTGGAGGCTGGTGCAGGCAATGCCCTCCCTGCCCTCTGAGCCCTCCCCCCAACATCCCAGGAGAGCCCACAGCCCCAGCACACCTATCAGGCTTTGTTGGCCAGGGTCAGGGACTGGACCTGTGAGGGCTCACTCGCGCGCGCACACACTGGCAGGGTGCCGCCCTGTGCCCGCAGCAGTACCAGAACGGGGCGGCGGAGGAGAACCATGAGCAGTTCCTCAAGGGGTTGCAGAACGCCGTCAGCACCTTCGTCAACCGCATGAAGAGCAACCACATGCGGGGCCGCAGCATCACCAACGACTCGGCCGTGCTGTCGCTCTTCCAGGCCATCAACGGCATGCACCCACAGCTCCTGGAGCTGCTCAACCAGCTGGACGAGCGCCGCCGTGCGTCCCGCCCCACAAAGGCCGAGGGGGCAGGGCCAGGCACGCAGGCCATGTCTGAGCCAACTGCTACCTCTCCTTGCCCCACAGTGTACTACGAGGGGCTGCAGGACAAGCTGGCACAGATCCGTGATGCCCGGGGGGCACTCAGTGCCCTGCGTGAGGAGCACCGGGAGAAGCTGCGCCGGGCGGCCGAGGAGGCCGAGCGCCAGCGCCAGATCCAGCTGGCCCACAAGCTGGAGATCATGCGGCAGAAGAAGCAGGTGCGGCTGCCCGTGCGAGGGCACCACTTTGGGGGTGTCGGCACAGCGCGAGGTGGCCGCTCTGGGCACCGCGGGGGGCGCGGACGTCGTGGTGTGAGGCTGCTTTGGAGGCAGACGGCACAGCCCGAGGCGGCCATTTGGGGCATTGCTCTGGGGCGGACAGCAGTGCGAGGTGGCCGTCCTACATTGTGTTTCCGCCCCAGGAGTACCTGGAGGTGCAGCGGCAGCTGGCCATCCAGCGCCTGCAGGAACAGGAGAAGGAGCGGCAGCTGCGCCTGGAACAGCAGAAACAGACTGTGCAGATGCGCGCCCAGATGCCCGCCTTCCCGCTGCCCTACGCCCAGGCACGTGCCCCACCACCCGCCCCACCACCACCCCTTCCAGGCTGCAGCTGACGGTCCCGTGCTCTTTCCTCAGCTCCAGGCCATGCCCACAGCGGGAGGTGTGGTGTACCAGCCCTCGGGCCCGACCAGCTTCCCAGGCACCTTCAGCCCGGCAGGCTCCGTGGAAGGATCTCCCATGCACACAGTGTACATGAACCAGCCTGCCCCGGCCGGCGCCCCCTACCCCAGCATGCCTGGGACCGGAGCAGGTAACCCCGCCCCTTGTCTGCTGCTGTAGCCGTTACAAGGACAGGACAAAGAATTTCCCAGAGCCCCCATACATTAGTCCACGTAACACCACGTTGGCTTTATCATCTCTTTATCCAGGGGGTGTACACTCAGCAAATGCATGCGAATGCACATGCAAAACACATGCCAGAAAAGCATGTTTACACAAACATGTCCTTACCGTACATGTACCTGTGTATACACATCTGAAAGTACGTTTACACGTGCATAAACTCATACATGTTCCCACCATCCATGCACACAGCATATACACACCTATACACACGTTTCTCCTGAGGTGCAGACTTGACCCACCTTGTCCCTGAACTCAAGTGTGAGCTTCCAAACACGGCAGGTCGGCCAGCCTCAGGGCAGGACTTCCTGTAATTCGGGGACACCCCATCTCAGGGCCGCGTTCCTTGGTGTCCTTTAATGAGCGCCCCTCGGCAGTGCTTCCTGACCACACACGAGCCAGTCTTCGCACTGCCCTAGTGGGCCGGCCCCTCCCTCCAGAGTGGCCCCAGCAGAAATGGGTCCTCTCGCAGCTCCCTCCACACACACCTTGGGGTCACCATTCAGTGCATAATGGGCACGCCTGGCTGGCAAAGCAAAGGCGCCTGCTCCCTGGGGTTTGGCCTTTGTGTTGACACTGCTTCGCCCACCCCACCCCCATGTCTGTCACCTGTGTCGGTGCCCCTCCCCCTGTGCGTCCCTCTCATTGGTCTTACTCCCCACAGATCCCAGCATGGTGAGCGCCTACATGTATCCTGCAGGGCCCACAGGTGGGCAGGCCGTGCCCCCAGCCCAGCCTGGGCCCACTGCCAGCCCAGCCTACTCATCTTACCAGCCCACCCCCACCCAGGGTTACCAGGTAAGTGGGTGAGGAGCTGATGCTCTGGCCATGCTCAGGCCAGGCCCTTGCTCACCAGGCATCCCCTCCCACAGGCTGTCTCCCAGGCCCCTCAGAGCCTCCCAACCCTGCCCCAGCCACCGCCTGGGACCATGGGCTATGTGGGCGGCCAGCCAGTCTCTGTGGGCTACCAGACCTACAGCATGCAGGTGAGCTGGTCTCCCCAGGTGGACTTCGATCAGCAGAGCATGCCAGGCAGAGGGTCCTTCCACTCACAAGACCCTCAGGGTTACCCATTTCTTCCCCTAGAACCTCATGACCACCCTCCCCAGCCAGGACGCGCCTCTGCCCCCCCAGCAGCCCTACCTCTCAGGGCAGCAGCCCGTGTGCCAGCAGGTGAGTACAGCAGGGTCCCTTCTCAGCAGGGCTTGGCAGTGTGGGCTAGTGCAGGCAGACAGGAGAGCCATGCTGCAGGTACAGGCGGGTGCACAGAGCCCTCTGCAGACAGGAAACACCACACGTGTGGGGAAAGCCAAACCCAAAGCCACCCAGTGTCCGTGAGTCAAGTGCTACTCAGGAGCCCTGAGCAGGGCCCCCAAGGCTGGAAGCCTTTACTCACAGAGCAGCTGGTGGGTTTGAACAACCATTCTATTGGTAGCAGCCCAGTGTCACCAGGGCTCCTTTGGGGAAAGCCAGAGACTGAAAGAAAGGCCCACTTGTTGGGGTCCACTGCTCTAGCAGGAGAGTGGAGCCACGGTCCTCCTCCTCCACAGAGGGGACTGAACTGAGCCCAGTGCATGCTGCTTCCCCCACAGATGGCGCCCACCGGGGGACCCCCACAGCAGCCTCCAGTGCAGGGGCTGCCAGCACAGGGTAGCGAGGCCCAGCTCATCTCCTTCGACTGACCCCGTGGCCGTGCCAGCCTAACATCTCGGCTCCGCAGACTGCCTGCACCCAACTTGCTGCTGCCTCTCTCGCTGCCACTGCAGGCGGCTACTCCCTCCTTGTCACCCTGCCATCACTGCCTCCCAGCCAGGTGCCCAGGGCTGGGCCACAGGGGAGTCCCTGGCAGCAGGTGTAGCCTCTGCCTGGTACAGCCACTACCCTGGGAGGCCTGGCCTCTGGGGAGCTGCCTGTGAAACCCCCCTTGTAAGCCCCTCAATGCAGCAGGCCGACCCTCCAAGCCCCTGGGAAAGACAGCTCCCAGAGGTGTGTGTGGGGTGGGGTGTCTCCCTGCTCTGCTTCTCCGGCTGCCCTCTCCCCTCCAGTACCCTGTAGACCAAGTGCAACAGGCATGACGACAATAAAAAGTACTCCGAGGCCCTGGCTCATGTGTTGGGGTGTCAGTGTGGGCATCTGGTAGAGCTCCCCTGGTCAGTCCTGACCCCAGGGGTGGCAGGGAGGAGGTTGGGATTTGATGGGCCTGTGCACGTGCTTCTAGAGGGAAGGTGGTTGGGCTGTGTGCCTGGTGCCACCCTAGCCCGCTGCCAGGCGGCCCAGCGCTGAGTTCAGTCATGGACATCCAGGGCCTTAACGGAAGGGCTCCCTTGTGCGCGTGAGCCGGGCAGAGGGCTGCTGCCGCCTCCGGGGCGTTAGGCCAGGCCGCGGGTTCAGAGCCTGGCGTTGGCTGCGGAGCCACTGAGGAGCAACAGGAGAGGCCTCTGCTGGCCCGAGGCGGGGCTCTGCCCTTCGCCAGGGGACGGAGCTGGAGCCTGCAGCGCCACCCGGGTGCCGTGGGCCCTCCCTCCGCTGCCCGGCTTTACCGACGGCCAACGGGCCTCTCGCCTGCCCGGGCCACAGCGACCTGGGCAGAGGGGTCCCGCATTGGGGACATTTTCTCCCGCTGTGGTCACGCAGGTCACCCACGAAAGCCTACGGCCTCGGGGACGCGGCGCAAGGAAGGGAGGGGCTCCGTAAAAATACACGCGTTCCTCTTGAGAAAACGCTCCTACAGCGCCGGGGAGCGTCCGCGGGGGCGACGACGGCCCTTAAAGCGCTGGCCCCAGGGACGCGCCTGCGCGCCGCGCCGCCTTGTGGGTAAACGCGGGGCCTGAGAGGAGGCGAGCGCAGACGCGGCTAGAGCGTCCCTCCCCAGCTCGCACTCTCGATCACCTCGGCGGCTAGAGCGTCCCTCCCCAGCTCGCACTCTCGATCACCTCGGCGGCTAGAGCGTCCCTTTCCAGCTCGGACTCTCGGTGTCCTTGGTGGCTAGAGTATCCCTCCCCAGCTCGCATGCTCGATCCCGGAGGCTAGAGCGTCCTCCTCGGTGGAGCCGCGTGTGACCTTCCAGCCCGCGCACCGATGCTGCCGGCGGCCGCTCGCCCCCTGTGGGGGCTGTGTCTCGGGCTCCGGGGCGCCGCGTCCCGCCTCGCCAGGTACGACGGGCCGCAACTGCGGCTGTTGGGGCGCCGGGGCAGCGAAAGGTGGGCCAGGTGGGGCGGCGCCGGCTAAGACCAGGGCAGCCGGCCACCGAGGGGCTCAGGTCCCTGGCGAGGCGGGCGGCGGGCGCGCACCCTGCAGGGGGCCCAGACCGGGCCTTGCGGGACCCTCGCGGGGCATGGGGGCTCGGGGGCCGTCCCATGCCTTCCCTTCTCCCGAGTGGGCCGCCGAGCGAGCTTGGGGCCGCGAGGCTGCAGCCGATGCGGGGTCGCTCGGGCCCTGCCCCCGGTGACCTTGGCCAAGGCCCTGCCCATCTCCCGGCCTCAGTTTCCTCCGCAGGCCAGGGCGTGGAGGCTACCCTCTGCGGACCGGGCTTGTGCGCCCAAAAACGGCCTGGGCCCGTGGAAGGTTTGGTGCCGCCGCGTGCCCCTAAGGCACGGATTCCGCCCCATCTGCAGCGCCCCTTACAAACCGGAAGCTTAAAGCTTGCAAATGCGAATACTAGGATTTCGAGGGCACTTTGAGGGTAGCAGTGGACTGAGTTAAGCCTTGGGTAGCTAACCAAAAGGGGGAAGCTTGAGCCCACCAGCCCCTCCCTGGAGAAAGATGTGGCAGTGGACGTCTCTAGAAAGATGCCCCAAGCTGCAAACCCCGAGGAGCCGTTGGTGGCTGTGGGTTTGGGGAGCTGAAGGATTTAAAGACCCTTGAAATCCCCTATTACTGGTGTGGTGGGATCCAGTGGTCCGGTGAGTCATGGGGGTGCTCTGCTGTCAGTGCCATACTTGACTGACCGACTCTCTGAACGGTGTAGGTCACAGGGGCCTGCTGTCCACGCTGCTCGCCAGATGAGGTGCACCAGCCACCTCAGGGCGGAGGCGCTGGCCGGTGCCCCTCTGGATAACGCCCCCAAGGAGTACCCCCCCAAGATCCAGCAGCTGGTCCAGGACATCGCCAGCCTCACGCTCCTGGAGATCTCCGACCTCAATGAGCTCCTGAAGGTAGCAAGGGCTAGCCGGCTGGGGCCCCTGTCTGTCTGCCCCCAGCACTTGGGATGACCCCGGCTCCTGATGCTGCCCCTCTCTGCCCCGCAGAAAACGCTGAAGATCCAGGATGTCGGGCTGATGCCTGCAGGCGTGATGCCTGGGGCCACCCCTGCTGCAGCAGCCCCTGAGGTGAGAGTTTCCTGCCGCCTCAGGCTGCAGCCTGTCCCAGCATCAAGCAACCTGGTGCCCTGTCCTCCACCCCCCACGCTCCCTCCGAAGGGGCAGTTGATGGCGGGATGGATGGTTTCTGGAAAGCCGGCCAGGGCTTTGGAGGAAGGGCCTGATGAAGAGGGGGCGTTACTTTCTGGCAGGAGGCTGACATCAGGACGAGCAGTGTGCCCCTTTGTCGGCACGGCCTTCCTGCAGTGGGTGCAACCAGCATGCAGCCAAGAGGCGAGAACAGGCCGGCCACTGGAGTTGGGCTATGCTAGGGAGACAAAAGGGGCTGCCAGCCCTGCCCATGGGCCCAGGGAACAGGGAGACTGGAGCACCAGGGCAGCAGGGCTCCCAGCTTGAAGGCCCTCATTCAAGTTTCGTTT